TTTTTTTTTTTTAAGATTTTATTTATTTATTTGATAGGAAGAGATGCAGCAAGAGAGGGAACACAAGCTGGGGGAGTAGGGGAGGGAGAAGCAGGCATCCCGCGGAGCAGGGAGCCTGATGCAGGGCTCCATCCCAGGACCCTGGGATCATGATCTGAGCTGAAGGCAGATGCTTAACGACTGAGCCACCCAGGCGCCCCGAAGTTACTCTTTTGTAAGAGACATTTATACTTATAAGGGAAATCTCCATTTGTAAGAGTGTCTCCATCCTTCACTGTGTCTGGAAGAAGGGGATGATTCAATCTCTAGAAACTCATATCAAGAGAAAAGACCAGGACTTAGATCTGCATAACAACCATACCCCGGCTTACAGTTTTCCTGGGTCTGTTCCAAGGATACAGGAGGTATACATGTTATTGAACTTTGTTTTCTCCTGTTAATCTGTCTCATAACTATTTAATCACTAGAACCTAGCAGAGAAAACATTTCTGACCCTTCATGCCACAAAAGTAATACTCTCTGATGGATTTCCAATGAGGTAAATGAGATACAGTGATTAAAACAGAAATATAAGAAAAGAAAGTCACTTTCTACATTTCTCTCTTTGCTTCTTTGGAGAGAGACTGTGAACTAACTCAAGGATTCTATACAGAAACAGTGCATACTATTTTCATGCTTCCAAGATTTTATTTTGCTTTAGTGATTATTTTCACCTTGGTTAATTTATAAGTTTGAATAATTGAGGCTGTATTAAAAAGTATTTCCTTAAGGTGTTGTTCCTCTTTCTCATTCATATGTGGCTTTTCCTCCTGTGGAAAGAAAAAAAATTATCCAAATAGGCAATAAAAATATCCCTCCTCATTTAATTACCTGTCCATCTTCTTTCTGGGACAACTCAAGGACTAAAATTAATCCTCCTAAATGTGGGTCCTGTGTCCCGGTGCCTTTGGAATCATTTCAGCATGTGGAACAGCACCTGCCTCGTGTTTTCAACATATTATTTGACTCCCCTCACTGTTCCTCTCAAGAAAAATGTCTTCCTTGTCAAAGTGTGGTATATTTTTAACCGATGACAATAGAACTTCAAACCCAAGCTCCTTCTTTGTGTCTCTGGGCACGGCAGTGGTTCCCAGACTCTGGGGATACTTTCTACTGGACCGAACCCCAGACAGGCTCCAGCCCTCACCTCTGAGTTCCAGGAGGCGGCCTGTCTGGGCCGTTGGCCCAGTTCTTTGGAAGAGAGCAGGTTGAGCCTGCCAGAGACCAAGGAGCAGTGCCCGCATCGCGGCCTCCGCAGGACAGACTGGAGCATCCCCTCCCGGTCGGTTTCCGGAGGCCCAGCGCCCCGCCGCGCCCTGTTGAGGCTCCAGCATTTCTGGGCCTGGAGGCCCCCCGGCGGCCGCTGCTCCCGGGCCAGGAGACACAGCCGCTCTGTGGACTTGATCTGCCTCGCTGGGTGGGAAAGCCGCCTTGGCCAAGGCTTGGTCGCTTGCGCGCGGGCGGCGGCGGCCCCAGGACCGAGGACGCAAGCGCTCCCGCGGCTGCCGGGCTAGCGAGCGATGGGCCACGGTCCGGGGAGCCAAGTCTGCCTCCGCCGACTGGAGACCCGCATACAGGGTCAGCGGAGCGGAGCGGAGCTTTGGTCCGGCTCTGGTCCTGTGGACCTTCTCGGCCGCGGGTGCCCAGGGAGAGAGCCGGGGAAGGGAGGAACAGCCACTCGAGAGCGGCGCGCTGTCTCTGCCACCTCCTGGCCTTGCGCTCTCTCCCTGCGTGTTGGGGTGGGGGCCCGGCTGCGGTGGTTCTCTGCGCCCGGGGTCGGAAGGACCTGCCCGGCCTCACCCCTCCGCGATCCGTTTTCTGCAAACACCGCGCTCGCTGCATCCCTGGCACGGCCCTCTGGCTCTGTTAGCAGGCACAACCCAGCTCCCTTCCTGCCCCTGGGCCCTGCTATTTCAAGAATTCTAGCGAAAAAATGTGCACTGGCGAGGTGCAGGCCTGGGCAGGCAGGGCAACTCGCGAAGCAGGCAGGCACTGGTGGCCTGAAAACAAACACACCTGTCCCCTAAAGGTTTCCCCAGCTTTATTGATCGCAGGAGTGGGGTAAGGGTCTATTCCGGTCTCTCAGATTTACTCTGAAATAGAGCCTCTTGGGAGTGAAAGTCCATATGATTAGATCATGTCCATAGCAGTCGCGCTGTGCCCAAGATGGGCACGGGCATTCGCTGTGCAGACACTGAGCTCCCCAGAGAGAAGGATTCTCTTGGCCCTAGGGTTTATTCTTGTTTCTCGATGGAACAGGCCTCCGAATTCCCCCAGGAACATCTCAGTAAGTAGGGGTGTGTGTGTGTCTGTGTGTCTGTGTGTCTGTGTGTGTCTGTGTGTCTGTGTGTAATGATTCTGTAATGAACTGACAGTTTGGTATTTAAGAACAAATGGACTTAGGTACAAACCAGTCGTGTACTTGTTGATACATGTTTTCTATGGATAAGAATGAGATTTCTGAGATCTCCACGATCTCGTAAGGGAGAGTATTTCCAACCCTTCTCATTTAATTAAAAACCTGTACTTTATTGAGATTCTGTAGACATTCTAGTTAGCACCTCAGACTATTGTGTTCTGAGTTGAATCTACACGCATTTTCATAATAGAACACTTGTCATGTTGTAAATAATGCCTTTGCAGGTGACTCTTCATCACAACTGTAAGCTTCTTCAAGGCAGGAATAGTTTTTATTCACCTTTGATTTTCCCAAACCAAGCAGTGCATGTGCAAAAATACTCAGTAAGTGATGATTAAATATAACACCACTCACTCCTAGTCCTTCCATTTCCTGTAGGCTCTAAAACAGAGGAATGGGGAGGTGGAGCTCAACGATAACGGATAAAAGTGAAGGACAGATGTTCATGATGAGGGACATTTGCAAGACCTTAAGAGTGCTCAGAATCAATGTGCTAATCAAGTCTCCTTGGTTTTAGGGCTATCCTGGGCAAGAGGTGGGAATGACCTACATTCTCAGGATATTTTTTTAAATCAGTATTTGGATATATTTCTCTTTTCATGTATTTTCCTTTCTTTTTTCCATTTTTCTTTCTTTCTGTAGATTAGGTGTGGTATAAGCCATTATACTTGAACTGAAAATATGCCTTGGCTAACCTTTTGATATCTGTTTTTTGATTTACTGGTACATTTGGCTAATTTCATATTTCTCACTTTTTATATTTGCACCATCATCCTAAAATAACATAAATTGGAGAAACCTGGCTTTGGGTGTCTAAAATACTTCACTTGGGAAAGTGAGCTGCAAATATTAAAATCTATTAGCTGTCTTAATTGTTGCTTTTTCAGCTATCAGTGATACTTTAAAAAATATACCCACTCCTTAGCCTTTTATACTCCCCAGACTCTTCCATAAGTAGATATTTGAAGAACTTGTCTTGTTAATATGTAATATCACTACACAGTGGGGATACTGTTATTCATAAGGGATTCAGTTGTGCTCACTCACCTTATACACTGGCACTTAACAGATGTTGCTACCACTGATGCATTACAAAACATTCATTCTGGACAACATACTACCTAGAATATTTTCTGTACCTGCTAGAAATCTCTGGAAGAGGATGCTGCACACAATAGGAATTCTTATTTTAAATTCTTGTACTAGAAAAATATACTTCACTTGGAATGATAGTGAAAAGACTAGGTGCCTGATCAGTATCATTGTTTCTGAATGTCTGTAGACCATTCAGTTTTAAGAAAGATAAGCAGCTTGTCTAATTTTCTATTACTAACAAAATATTCATTATTCTGAACATTAGGGTTAAGGACTTGACTTTTTGTTGTACCTCTTCTACTGTTTTGTTCAAGTGTCACATATTCATTCCTTTCAGGTAACCATATAAAATATGGTTGAGAATGCCATCTCTATTTGCAGCACCAGGAAAAAAATGCTGTTGAATTTACAATTCTTGGTAACCTTGCTTTTATTTTAGCATCAATTTCCCCTCCTTCGTTGTGATTTTAATGGAGTTCTTATTTTTTTTTTTTTCTTGACCTACTTTCTTTTCAAGAGCTTTCATGTAGAGTGTTTTCAGTGATGGTGATTTCTGTAGTGTATAGGAGAAAGTCTTAAATCACAGTGAAACAGATTAGTTGGCTATCACTTAATTTAGAAATGTTTTCATGGTTTAAAAATCATCTGGTTACAACGTCCACAATTTCATAGAGCGAAATCTTTTAAGCTGTGCTTTTCATGAGTTCTCTCCGTTTTCCAGACTGAGGATTTGAACCTCATTCTGCTCTGATCCAATTGTTATTTTTCTTTGTTGCCTCCACCCCCTAGAGATTGTGTTTCCAAGGGAGAGGCGTTCTTGGGGCTGAAGAGGAGAGCCTAGTGGGATGAGATCTGGCACCTCAGGAACTAGATCCCTCCTCCCCCGCCTGGTGAGAAGGCAGAGACAATTTTGACAGTTCGTAGTCCCGCTTTGGCTCTCACGCTTGCCGTCCATGGGTAGGTTTTACCTTCTCCCCTTTCCCCTGTTCTGGCTTGCCTACAGGCCAACCGCATATGCAGCCATTGCCCCAGCCCACCCAGCGCTTTCTCTCACCCATCCTCTTGGGGAACTGGGGCAAATGTCCGTAGAAGACTTCGGGGACTGGGGAAAGGGACGCCGGAATCGGGACACTCGAGAGGGCAGCCCCTCCCCAGGCTTTCCCCCACCCCCAGTCGCGGGGCCCACGTGACCGAGAGCAGGCCTCCACCGGCCCGCCCCTTTCGGCCGCTGCAGCCCACTTCCCGCTCTGGGTAAGTAAACCGCGGTTTTCCGCACCGCCCCAACCCCGCCCTCTTCCTTTCCCCTTCCCTTCACCTCCCTCGGGCTCCCTCGCGCCACTCTCCCCTCTCCCCCATCTTCCCCACCAGGCCCTTTGTACGTGCTCGGCGGCGTGCGAGCGCGCCCGGCACGTGACCCCGCCGAACGTGGCATTGTGTTATCACGTGACCCAGGTGCGTACGCGACGGAGCGGGGTGTGAAGATGGCGGACGAAGAGGCCGAGCAGGAGAGGTTGAGTCGTGGCGGAGGCGGTTGCGTCGCGGAGCTGCAGCGCCTGGGCGAGCGGCTCCAGGAGCTGGAGCGACAGCTGCGGGAGAGCCGCGTGCCGGCCGTGGAAGCGGCCACGGAGTACTGTCAGCAGCTGTGCCAGGTGAGGGCGCCTGGGGGTCCCCTCCCCCTTTTCCCCAACCAGAGGGGGAAGAGGGCGAGCGAGCGCCTGGGGCTGAGCGGTGGTCGTCTCTTCTTTGGCATCGTTGGCGCCGCCGCCCAGGCGGGAGCGGGGAGTACGAGGAAGGCGCCTTTGTGTGGCTGCCGTTGTGGCGGTTGTTGTCGGCAGCTCCCGACTGGGGGAAGGGAGTTGTGGTCAGGGCGGAAAATCTCCCCTCCCCTTCCCTTCTCCGAACTCGGGACTGCTTGGTCCCCGAGGCCCAGGAGATGTAGACGGCCGAGGACTGAAGTCCTCTTTTCCGCAGGGAGAGGGTAAAGGAGGAATGGAGGCCAGGTCCTCTTTTTCCTCCCCCTCTTATTGTGCACTGGGGATTACCGCGCCCCCCGCCTCTGCGCCTCTGGTTTCCCACTCCGACGGGCCTCCGCCCCCACTGGTTTGATTCCTTTGCTTCCCCCTGCTTTCAACCGTCCCGCCCCCGGCCCCGTCCTCGCTGTCTCCCGGCCTTTGTTGTTCGAGTTTCGCCTTAGGACTGAAGGGGCCTTTGTTGATGTTCAGAGGAACAGTCCCCGCCGACCCCTTCTAGCTGGCCGAGACCTTCTGGGGTGGGGGCGCAGAGGTTGTCCCTTCCTGCCTTTGCTTGCTTGGTGCACCGCTTCCATGGTAAAGGTTGCTCTCCTCGGTAGAAGAGAGGAGCTCTCCCTGTATCCTGTGGGGCGGCTTTCCAGAGTCTGCTTCTCTTTTGCTTTCACCCTTCGAGGAGTACGGTTTCCTCTGCGCTTCCTCCCCTATCTCCCTACCGCCCCTATTATTTGGAGCCTTCCCTATTTGGCCTCCTGGTGAAACGGAGGTTCTTGAGGATTGAGGTTCTTGTGGACCTGTGCTCAGGGCAGTTTCAGACCTTTCCTTCTTTTCTTGAACAAGGACACTGCTTTCCAGTAACTGCGTTCTAACCAGGATTTGGAACGTTAAAAGCACTGTTTGCTCGATAGAAATCGGAGAGTTTGGGTCTACATTTGGACCTGATTACAAACCCTCCAGTTAGTTTGAAATTTCAAGGAGCTGCTGCTGGCGGTGGTGAAGATTTTGGTTAGATTGTCGTCCCGAGGAGGAAAAAGACAATTTATACAGGTCACATTTAGAGTTAACTTGTCAATGTATCATTATAGAGAAGTTGTTTTGGAAAGATAATGAGCCTAAGGCCGAACAATGGGTGGACTATTTTAGAATTAGATTACATTTTCACTTAATTTTTAGTCTTCGGAAATCTTTCCTTTAGAAGATCAAGGATACTTGAACCCATACAAAAAATTTTTCCATTAATGTATGCACGTTATTGTCACTAATTATTTGATAGTATTTCATTATCTTAAAAAAAAAACTTTGTGAGATCAAGTGGTGACTTGTCTAGGAGTCCATGCAATGTGAAAGCTCCCCACTTAAGGTAATAAAGGTCTGGTGAATACCTATGGCAGAATTAGAGATTCATCATTCCTTTGAATCCTTGTTTTAAAGAATTGTTGAAATTTGCCATTTTGACCTACCCTGGCAGCGCCAACTCATTGTTAATTGGTCTTTTAGATATAAAGATTTATTTTGTTGTAAAAGAATACTTGAAGTACCCATAAAAGGAAGTGTTTCTTTTATAAGTAAAGTCTGCTTTAACCGGTGAAAAGTATTAAAGTCTAGCTTTGCTGAAAGATACTTTTCAGATAGCGTTATCCACTGATGGGTTTAAGGCTAATTACCGTAAAT